AAAGTACGTGGGTTTCTGTGAAACCTGGTTCTGCATAACAACATCTCAAATCATCACAAGATTCCTTCTAGATGCCTTCAAGGCATCACAGATTCCTTCTAGACGTTTTAAGTTTGTAGCTCGGGATATTTTCTGCACTACCATGCTTCACCCAGTAGGTCCCACAGAGGACGACATGCTTCCTTCATTAGTTCATTAAATGTAGATGAATATCATGTATGAACATCATGTAGGGAAACGAGTCAGTAGGTCAGCTGCTGTATATAGCCAAAATACCAGCGGACAAACAAGCTGAGCGTGGCAGAGCCTGTAGTTCCAGCACTCAGGAGTCTGATGCAGGAGGATTGCTGTGAGTTTGAAGCAAGTCTATGCTATTCAGGAAGACACTCTGTGTGTGTGTGTGTGTGTGTGTGTGTGTGCGCGCGCGTGCTTAAGAGACAGCTTAGCTGGTAAAAGTACTTGCCTTGCAAACATGAGGACCCTAGTTAAATACCTAGAACCCATGTGAAAATGCCAGGCGTGATGCCATGTGTTTGTAATCCCAGGGCTGGGGAGGCAGAGGCAGTACGATCCCTGGAGGCTCAGCAGCCTGCCAGTCTAGAGTCACTAATGAGTTCCTGGCCAATGAGAGAGCCTGTCCCAAAGAAGGTGGCAATGCTCCTGAAGATGATACTGAAGTTGTCCTCTGCTCTTCACACACGCTTGTGCACCTGTATGTATGTACATACATGTGTATGTATGTACAGGTGCACAAGCATGTAATGAAGAGAGGGAGGGAGGGGAGGAGGGGAGGAGCGCTGAAAGGAAGAGAAGAATGTTAAACTAAGGGGCTCACAGGCATGCTAGCAAGCATAAGAGGCAGAAAAACCCAAGACAAGCAGGAGTCAGTGGGAGAGAGGGTGCAGCACCTCCTGCTGTTCCGGACTCCTTGATTAGCTGCATGCGCATCCGTCCAGAAAGTGGACTACAAGGACTTAGTTCTTACATTCAGAGGGACACTTGGCACGCTAGTCCTCACCTTCTATTCTGTTTTAAGATGGGATAGTCACTGCTTCTTATGCCTAGCCTAACTTGCAAGGCAGTTAGGTACACGGAGGAAAAAAAGGTCACTTTCAGGCAGAGCTTCCAGGAGATGCTGGAGCAGATAGGGGTTGTGAGATGGGGGGGAGGGGGGGCATGCTTGGTGGAGGGTCCTAAACCACCAGCAGCAGTGCTGCAGGAAGGGGAAGGGAACAGGGGCCAGCCAAGGGTAGACACAGAGGCGCGAAGGCTGGCAAGGTCTGAGGTCCCCATCACTAAGGAGAAGGATGCTTGCTATTGTAATTTAAAGCCATTGCGTACTCAGCATTTACATTTGCTGTGGGTAAAGCTTGGGAAGGCTGAGCCAAATCTCTTTTTGAAGTTCCAGCTGAAGAAGTCTCAATACACACATGCAGACTTTTGAAGGGAAAATAAACTTTTAAATGCAAATTGCAGCTATCAACCTAAAATAGTTGGTGGGAAGTTTGGGTGAATCAAAGGGCTGCCTGTGCACCAGAGGTGAGAGCTGGGGAGGGGCTCCTGTTGCTATATTTACACAGACCCGCCCCTCTTCCTCAAGTGGCTGGCACTGAGAAATGAGCAAGGCAAGAATTCCAGATATGCTTGGCCTTTCAGATCTATAAATGGATGCTGGCTATTTATATGTGGCCTACTTACAAACACCCTTTATGGAGTGCCTACCTGGGGCAGTCGGCACAATCGGATAGGCCAGAACTTCACAGCTCCTGCCGGGAAAGGAACCGTCCTAATGCTGAGAGGATGGCCCAGTGGGTAGAGCACCTGCTACACAAAGCCTGACGTCCTCGGTTCGACTTCTCAGAACACGCAGAGGTCAGACCTGGGCTGCCTGGACCCTGCCCTACGACAAAAGATAGATCATTCCTCTTAAAATAAAAAATTGAAAGGATATCATCACATTTGCATTCTCTCTGCCATTTTTGTTTTCATCCTAAAGCAATTATAAAGCAATTCCCAAGCAGAGTGTAGCGGTGGTGATGACTGTAATCCCACTTGGGAGGTGGAGACAGGAGGATGAAAATTCAAGGCCATTGCTTGGGGCCTGGCCTGGGCTTCCTGAGACCCTGTCTCAAGAAAAAAATTCAGGCTGTCATTTTCTCCGAACCAACTTCTTCCTTTTTTGTCTCTTATGTCTGAGAATGTCTTCTTAGATAACCTTCAAGGCACTTACACGCTTAATCTTAATAATTCTTTCACATCGTCATCTGTTACTAGTTTCTTAGCAAACTTTCTCATTGTCGCAAATGTCTTTTTGCTTATCTGGCTTGTTCAAGCCAAAGGACAAGGAAGGTAGCAGGCTACATTTCACAGCTGTATCTCTTATTAACACCAAGTCTGGGGCATTCTCCTGTACGCCTGCCCTTCACTATGCTTTTGAATTTCTGTTTGAAAGGGATCAAGCTAGGTGTGATGGCAGATGCTGTGATCTTAGTCCTGGAGGCTGAGATGGGTGGATCACAAGTCGAACCTGGGAGGCGAAGGAGACCCTGCTGTCTCAAAGACAAACATCAGGTTGATTTTCTTGTAGGATAAACCATGCCCTGCATTTGTCTTTTTGCTTCCTCTGAGGGTTTTTAAATGGTCCCTTTGTGTCCCAAACCATCTTTTTGAGTCGGGTGTTGTTAGTTTCCTACATTTAGCCATCTTTCTAAAGATGGGAAGAACACTATTACAGCCTGAGCACCTGTTGCCATGTGAACGCAATTATTCTTTTATCCTCTCCAGGTTGGGTTCCTTGGTGTTCTCCTGAGTCAGTCGGCAATTGACGGGGCTGTCAAAGAATCTGGTAGGGACCTGCATCTCCTGGACACCGATGCTTCACAGTTGATGGTCACCTGCATCCTCCTTTTCACGTCACCTTGTGAATGCAACAGAGGGAGCAAGGACTGTGTGATTGCATGGAGAGTTTTCTACTCTATCCAGGATACCATTCTGTTCCCTAAAAAATTCTCCCAGCAATATGGTCACTGACAATGAGCCAGTGGCCTAAGGGTGATAAGCACAGGGCATAGCAGGCTTTTTTCGTTTTGGGTCACCAACCAGCTCCCAAATCATGACATGGAGACTTATTATTGGTTATGAATGGTTGGCCTAGCTTAAGCTAATTTCTGGCTAGCGCTTTTAACATAAATTAACTTGTTTCTCTTTATCTACCTTTTGCTTTCTGCATTTTTACTTTTCTTTCCTTCTGTGTATCTTACTTTCACTGTTTCTTGTGTCTCTCTGTCTGGTGGTCGCCTGGCTTCTTGCCCTGGACATGTCCCTCTCTTTCTCCCTCATTCTATTCTCCTTCTTTCTTCTTGTTCTTTCCTCTTCTATTTATTCTCTCTGCCTGACAGCCCTGCCTATCTTTATCCTGACTCGCTATTAACTGTCCAGCTTTTTATTAGACAAATCAGGTGCCTTAGACAGGCAAGGTGAAACAAATGGGACACATCTCACATGATTAAACACACGTCCTTCCATCATTAAACAAATGCAGCATAAACAAATGTTACAATCTTTACATAGTTAAAATAACATTTCACAACACAAGGAATGTCTGCCTCAGAATCACCCACAACACGAGTGACTCACAACGTCTGGGCTTTGCCTTAGTAAATAGGAAGGGAGACTCGGAATCTGCATAATATGTGAGACACAGGTTGGCAGTCTGTGAAACAGCCTGGAAGCTGTGGAGCTTGGGAACTTGGACCTGAATGGCAAACATATCACAAACTAGGCTGCACTAACTTCCTTGGTATGCAGCCTGTACACTACAGGAGTCCAGTGGCCAGTGTCACTTTCACTGACTGCTCCACCCGGTCATACACACACATGCATACCATTTGCCTTTCTGACGGAACCAATAGCTTCCTCCCCTCTCATGGTGGCGGTATTGAGGACTGCACGCAGGACTTGCGTCAGTGAAGTAAGCACTCTACTGCGGAGCTGACCCCCAGCCCAGACCCTGCACTTTTCAATGCCTTAAGTTATTTCATGATGCCTCTCCCTGCCCCCTTGTCAGTTCCCTGTATTATACAGTCAGCTCTCCAATTTGTGGGTTCCCATCCGTCTTAGTTTGGGTGTTTATTGCTGTGAAGAGACACTATGACCACAGCAACTCTTACAACGAAAACATTTAATTGAGGGGGTGCTCGCTTACAGTTTCAGAGGTTCAGTCCATTATGATCGTGAAGGGGAGCATGGCTGCATGCAGGCAGACCTGGTGCTGGAGCTGAGTGCTCTATCTTGCAAGCAACAGGAAGTGGACTGACAGCCACACTGAGGGAAGCTTGAGAAAAAGATTTCAAAGTCCACCCCCATAGTGACACACTTCCTCCAACAAGGCCATACTTCCTAATAGTGTCACTCTCTTTGGGGGCCGTTTTCTTTCAAGAGCATTCTGGATAGACTAATATAACAGACTCTTTCTGAAGACAAACCAGGGTGGTCAGAAGTCAGGATGGGAGATGAGGACTTTGATCAGGGTTAGGGTGTGATGTTCCGGATACATTCAGAGTCTTTCTGCACCTGGGCGATGCCAGGTTGTCAGGGTGGGGGCTGAGGTCAAACTTCCTGAGAAGAAGGCTTCAAGGAAGAAGTTTAGTGAGGGCAGTGTGGCCTGGTAGTAATCATTGTGTGGCAGGACCAAGAAGAGACAAAAGAGACAGTGACAGAGAACATCACACCGCCTCTGATAGGTCAGCGCTTTCTTTGCATGCACTGCAACCACAAAGAAGGCTGCCTTGGACACTGGTCAGCAGGCTCTGAGACTTGGAATGGGCAGAATGGTCCATTTATTCCCAATATATAATCCATAATGATGTGGATCTGCAGTGATACAATATAAAATTAAAAAAAAAAACTGTTTTGCCACATCTAATCTCTTAGCCTCTTCCAGTTGCCCCAGCTAAAACTCTGAGGCAAAGGAGCTCACAGGCACATCCCAGGAGCAGCCAATCAAATCTCGCGAGAGAGCAATCGTCCACAGGACTCTCGCTCTGGCTTCCGGCTGGCAGGTGGGCTGGTGGCGTCGCCCAGGGCAACGGCGATGGCGGCCAAGGCGGCTGGGCGGCTGTTCTCGCTAGAGCTGCTGGTGGACTGGGTGCGGCTGGAGTTCGGGCTGGCGCCGTGCGCCGGGGATCCCGCTGTGGCGTTTCGCCTGCTGGACTTCCCGCCGCTGCTCGTCCTCCCTCCTGCCGCTTCAGCCCGGGAGCCCCGGAGCGGCACCATCGACTTCGGACGCGGCAAGGCCTGCCTATTACGCCTGTGCCCTGCCGCCCTGCGTCGCCCGCGCCTGCGCGCAGCGGTGCTGCAGCTACCCGAGGGTTCAGCGTCTGCACCGTGCGTGCTGGGTGCTTGCGACATCCTGCTCGTCGCCTCCCAGGGCCGACGCGGTAAATACACCCTGCGCGGTCCGGCGGCCGAGCACGTCGGGGAATTGGCGCTCTTCTACCGCCTAACTGACCTGGGACGCTTTCCCCCGGGGGTTCCGGAGCTGCAGGGCCCTCTGAACCCTGAGAGTATCACCTCCGAGGCCATGGAGGTGTGGGAGCCACCTACCCAGGAGACCTCGAAGCCATGCACCAGAGAAGCCACTGTCAGATGCCTACAGTATGCCTCAGATGTATGCCGCTTGGAGGCCTCAGAGCCATGCCCCAAGGATACCAATAGCTGGTCTGCAGGGGACTCAGACCCCTCAGCTGTCCAGAAGACCTGGGAAGAAGCAATCTTACACAGCAAGGCCAGCTCTGGGGACATGGCTTCTGCCCCTTGTTCACCGGCTCCCAGTGGGAGGACTGCCAGCCCCCTCAGCCCGGAGGTCACTGAGCTGGACTTTGAAACCAACACCTTTTGCCCCCCTCCTCTGTATTACACTCAACTGATTCAGGAAAAGACACCCCCTGGCAGGGTTGAAATCACTATTGAGCCTCAGAGAAACGGACCTGAGGAGCCTGATGGCATTTATCCCGAAACTAAACCTGTAAGTCCTCCCATACACCCGGTGAAACATACAAGATCTGCAATGGAGGAGAGCCCTCCAGTGCTTCTCAATCCTCCCCAGACGCAGGGTCCAGGTGCAGTGAATGAGGTTGCGTGTCCCCAGACTGAACAGAATACAGCCAATGCAATAAGACAGCTGCCGCTCTTGAACGCTTTGCTGATTGAGCTGTCCTTGCTATGCAACCAGCCCGTGGCAAGTCCCGCTCAAGTTCACCCCCACTTGGCCTGGTTGTACAGAGGTGAACACAAGGGGCCAGAGCTTTCTGCCAAGTCCACATCTCGGTCAGAATTAAAGAGCAGCAAACTTTCTGTGAGAGAAAGTGAAAAGCTCGTGAGTCTTCAGCCTAAAAAGAACCCTAAAGGTAAGCGTTCAGAGAAGATCAGTGGTAGCCCTCCCCCGAGAGCCACGAAGGGGAGGCTGCTCTATGGCTTAACGAACACCCTAAGACTGCGTCTAAAGCAGACAAACCCCGACATGCTGGTTGTCCATGAAAAGAGAGAACAGTATAGAAAATCACAAATACAAACTGGGGGACCAAAATTCCGGGTCCCATCATGGAAAGGGAAAGTACCAAGCTTGGCAACACAAAGCCAGATGCCACCAGAGCCGCCTGAGAAGCCTTCCGACTCCAGTGGGTCTTTTGCTGAAGGTAGTGATACTTCAAGGCAAATCAGTGCATGCTTTGATGAGCCAAGTATAAATACATCTAAAGCAGTGAAACAGAGCCAGGCTGATAGACAAGAAACAGGGGGGCAGAGTGAGAACAGAGCCAGCGACACTTGGTTGGAAGCAGGTGTGGGTCCCATAGAGTCCATCATCCCAGCGAGAGTCCCTCCTTCACATATCCTGGAAGGAGCATCCAAAATGCTGGTCCAAAGCCCAGGGCTTTCCCGACAGGATCCTGCAGTTGACCAAACTGTGGAGGAGGGGAAAGATGGTAGCCATGTCAAAGTCACGGACCTTGTGACTTCTGATGCAGGGGTCAACAGAGCAGCCAGTAGAGACAGTTCCTGCAAGAGCATCTCAGAGCTAGAGTACCAGGAAGAGTTAGCCAGCCCTTGCTATTCTGAAGACTTCTGCATGACTGAGAATAACAGCAGAAGTCTGCTGGCTCCTGGCTCCAGCACAGGGGCAGAAAATGCCCAGCACGGTTCACAAGCAAGCAAGTCCAGCGAGGCAAGGCTGTCCACAAGGAAAACCAGCAGCGAGCTGAGCGTGCTCAGCCCTCCCTTCTCTGCTGGCTCCCCAGTGTGCTCCCGTAAGCGATCTCATGTACTGAAGACTCCCTGTAGGAGTCTGGAGGAAGCCTCCAGTAGCTCCACCAGCGACTTCTCATCACAGTGGACAAATGAAAAGGAGAACCAGGCAGATGCTCTGAGTACAGGTAGTTCAAAGGTCATGAGGACAGGTCGGGACAGCTCCACTAAACTTAAAGGAGGAGCTGGTCGCAGGTCATCTGAGAAAAGCCAGTCACCAAGGACATCGCAAGTGAGTTCTTATGAACCGTCCAATCTGTCTGAGCTAGAACTCAAGGGCTTTGACAACAGCGAGTCAGCTGAATTCCAAGAGGAGGAAGATAATCTTGGGCCACTGAACTTCTCCAAACAGTGCAGAGACATCTGTGAATTAGTAATAAATAAACTTCCAGGATACACCGTGTGAAGTTTGCTGCTTTCAAAAGCTAGTTTCTAACTGATAAGCACTGATCATGAAGAAACGACGTTAGGGCGTAACGTCCGTGGTGGTAGGTGTTTAGGAGATGTATATAGTTGATCATTGATGTTTAGTGCCTCGCCCTTCACGCCGATCCTACTCTGAGTCACTGTTAAGCTTAGAATGATTCTTTTGTGAGATGTTCAAGATTAAAAGTATGTCTATATACTCTGTGGAAGTGTCAGCCTCACAGTGCAGATTAAAGTCGGCGTTCTAGGCACCGTTGTAGAAAGAAGCGCTCGTGCGTGAGCTCAGCACCGGTTCTTAATGGAAATAAATCTGGTAACAGGTGGATGTGTTAGGGTGTGAGGTGCAGAGGGGGATTGTGATTGTCTGCTGCGAGGCGTTTTTGGCTTATGGACCTTCGTGACACCCTGTCCTCTTATTGTTTAGTCTTCCTTTTGTATGAATATACTCCATTTGCACTGATTTGAACTTAGGTTTTTTGATAAATCCTGTCTTACTTTACACACCAATATTACCTTTTTTTTATTTATGAAGTTGCTGAATAAAAGACTTGGCAGTTAAAATCTTACTAAAGGCTGTAGCACAAACACTTAACAAGAAGCATGGACTCTCCCTAATGGAAATGTATTTGGGTAATATTTTAATTTCACTGAATTTAAACAGCCTTCAAGTATACTCAAGCATTTAGGAGAACCAAGTCAGCCTTCATCCCATATAGTTTTGTGAACAGGAGTTTAGTTTATGCCATGTTTTCTGGTTGCTCAGTGTTCATTTGTAACATGGAAAAGCTGACTACCATAAACCCTCGTCATCAGTTCTGCAGGATGTCCTTCATTAATTTCAGATTTCACGCTGTGTTCAGATACTTGTAGGCATTGTAGTATAATACATGTAAGCTGTGTTATATTGTAACTTTTAGACTTTTTAATGTCGCTGATGCTTTGGGACCTGTGAGACAAAGCCCTGGTTTTTCTTTTATTACATAAATTATTATAAACAGTTACACAGTTATATGAGCATATTCAGAATGATTGATCCTAGAAAGGACTTACAGTGATGATGATAAGGGGCCATTGTGGATACATGAGTGGAGATGGGCGTGAGCTTGGCGTTCCCGGGAGAGAGAATGGCATCTGGATGGTGATGTTATGTTCACATCACAGTGGCATAAAGTCAGTTTGCTGCACAAGAAAAGTTCCAGATTGTAGAGAGACTCAGACTCCCAAGTACACTGTCCAGCAATGGGATGTGGGACCAGGACAGCCATGGGAGATGGGGTCAGGACAGGGATGGTTGTGAGTGAGCATGAGTAAGTCATGGCCTTGGAGTGTTGTAAAATACCGGAAATAATTACTCAGAGCTACAGAAGTTAAGTCTGGAAATGGAAAAGGATTTTATGCTACAGACTGATTTCTCCTTGTCTGTAAATATAAAATCTATGCTGTATTTTGAATCCATAAGACATAGCGTGGTACTCAGACACGAACTGTGCAAATGTTTAATGTCATTTCTTCCCGTGGAAAAGGCAACATATAAGTACTAAAAGAATCATCAAAGATAGTGTAGTGGTTTGAAGGAGAAACATCTCCCCTAAGTTGTATTTGACACTTGGTCCTAGGTTTGTAGCATTATTTGGGGAGGTTGTGGAACCTTTTGGAGGTGGAGCTTTGTGGAAGTAAGTACATCACAGCATGGGGTGCTTTGAGGATGTTTAGCTCTGTTCCACCTCTTGTTCTCTCTCTTTTCTGCCTGGGGGGAAAATGTGACTGGTTAGCTTCCTGCTCCCACAGCTCTGCTTTCCCTGCCTCTGGGATGGGAATAGGTGAGGGAGGTGATGCCCCAGGGTGAAAGGTGAAGGTATAAGAGCTGAGACAGTGGGGCAGGGCCAGACCAGGGAGCCTGTCTCTAAAATTGTGTGACTCATAGGGCTGTTCTAAAGGAGATGCTGTGACCATGTATTTAAATCACCTGCTACAGTCTGGCCTCCAATATGGCCTTGTGTTTTAATTCTTTAAGCTGTTGGCTTAGTTTTTAAATACTTTCGTACTTGGTATTACTTATGAAGCCTGATTTTATTTTATATGGTTAAAATTATTGAAACATGAGATCTAGTTTTAGGGTCATGAATAGCAGGCTCTGTCATTTCACAGTAGAACTGGTCTGTTGCAGCTCAACTTTTCAAACGGGCTGGATAGCAAAACTGACCAAGGTGACAGGGGCTACAGCAATACTGAGCATGGTACCCAGTGCCTTGGACACCCAGCCCTTGGGACAGAGAAGCAAAGTGAGCCACAAAAACAGTGCTGGTCCTGCCTCTGTGTGCAGCTGAGGAGGCGGCTGTCTGTTCAGTCCTTTGAACCCTTGCTGTAGATACAGAGGCCTGGACAGAGACACACCCCATGTCTACCTCTCGTTCACATGCCCAACGGTGGTGACTTCTCCAGGTAGGAGGAACATCTATCATGAACTTCTGTCACACCCTGTGGCTCCCGATTGCGAGTCACCCTTCACGTCCTGGTTTGTGTTTTTTCTTCATGTACAGAGTGCATTGTTACAGAATTAGACTTAGGGACTAGACTTTTGTTTGCAACAAACGAACAGGTCAAGACTGGAAATTGAAAATGACTTTTTAATTATGACATTTTTGTTGGCAAGGTGAAGAGATGTCATAACAAAGCAACATAAATAAGATACAGTATTTAAATATGTTGAGTTAAACTGTCCTTGGCGCCAAACAGCTCAGGTTGTTCATGTTTTCATTTGCGTTAAAGCACACAGAGCTATGCAGAATGGCACTTTGTGAGCCAAGACTTGTGAGGTGGTTCTCATTTCAACCCCAGAGCAGTTCTGTGAGAAGTTGCTTGGTCAAGGACCAACATTCTCTCTGCCTGACTTTCTCCCTGCCTGTGCCCAGCACAAACACCTTGGGAGGATTGCCATTGGGCCGCAGTGCCAAGCCTTAAGGAGCCCTGCTTCCTTGTTCTTTAATCGGTACTTATATCTATCAATGCATATCCAATGTAGAGAAAAAAAGGCCCAGAAAACTCAAGAGTTTTGCTCTCATTGTAGAGAAAAGGGGATATGTCTTCAAATTCCATTGAACTAACAGGAGAAGTATGAAATTAAGAATTAACCTAGAAAATTAATGAAAATATCGGGGGCAGGAGTAGCCGTCAGTGGTAAAATGTCTGCCTAGTGTGTGCAGGGAGATCAGTTTGGTCCTGAGCCCTGAAACAAAAATAATAGGAACAGCATTTTAAAAATAGAAAATAAAGAGTTTCTGAAAATGAGGAAGGCTGCTTCCTGCTTCTGTAGCGTCTTTAATACTGAACTCCAGCAAAGACAGTTATCAGGCTCCTTTCTGTATGTCCTGACCTAATCATATGGTCTTTCTTTAGTCTGTTAGGCGGTTGACTGAAGTAGGGGACTTTCTGATGGTGACCGCCATCTACATTCCTGTCTTGATTGTCCTGTCTTGTACTATCTTTAGGTTGTAGAACTTTCTCCTGGTTCCCCACCTTCTCGTGTGTGTGCGCGTGTGTGTGCGTGTGTGCGTGCGTGCGTGCGCGCGCGCGCACACACACACACACACACACACACACACACACACACACAATGTAGCACTGCAGCATGCATAGAGTTCAGAGGAAAACTTGAGGTGTGGGCCCTCAGCTTGTTGGAGGCGAGGTCTCTTTTGCTCCAGGCTAAGCTGGCCAGGAGGCTTTCAGGAGTTTTCCTGTTTCCCTCCTTTCTTGCTGTAGGTGTGCTGAGTGTACAGGCAGACTCGTCCTGGCTCCAAACTCAGGCACTCCACTCGCATGGCCAGCGCTGTCATGGATCGTCTGTCTCCACAACCCTCCTCCCGAATCTGTCCTCTCCACAGTCCCTCGTCTCTGCCAAGGGCTCCGGCCTCTTCTGTGTGGCTCCGATGCTCTGTAATAGAATTGCTTTGAGTGTCTGTAGATCTGGTTTTATCTGGCTAGAGATGCCAAGTGGATCCCTGCTTCCCATATTTTAAAGTTGAGAGCCCTTCATGTTATAGTCTGCATAGAATGAGGAAAGCTTAAAGCTTTAAAATAAAACATTTAAAAGCAAAAAGGTTGTTGAGGTTTGGTATTAGCCACTCTGCTCCAGGGCTTAGAGCCACCTCTGTATCTGTCTTCCTCCGCTCCGCAGCTCAGGTATCGGGTGGGTGGGTTCACTTGCCCACCCACCTTCCCTCCTGCTCTCTCCCATGCACTCCCTGACTTCTCTCCCAGGGAAGCCCTCAGACCCTGACTTCTGGCCTCCGTTGTTTTCGCTCTGCAGCAAACACTCCACTCCAGTTCTCTCTCCTGCTCTTGCACACGGGTCTAGACTGCCCAGTCATCTCAACCCCTGACAGCGACAGAGAAACCAGTGACTGCCTTCCCCAACATTTCAGTCTATTCCATCAGTGTCCCAAGATTAATGGATATAAAACATGTTACCACTCCACCAAGCAACTCCTTGTCAGTTTTCCGCGGGGAACATTCTCTCTATACCTTAATGTTCGTTCTTTTCCTTGTCCCACCCTGCTTTGTGCCTGGGCGTTGCCTTTAGTACACACAGTTGTACTCAATAAATGCTCACTTAAATGCATGAGTACTTAAATATTCACAAAATCAAATGGTGCTTCCTTAAAAGGGTCAGAGCAAATGGAATCCAAACTGAGGAAGCAATTGTAGACCGTGTACACACACTCACACACACACACACACACACACACACACCCCTACCTATCTCCCCCTGCCCCCCACCTGTCTCTTCCCCATGGGAATGACCAGCATTTATGCTCTGGGTTTGCTGAGGATCCAGAAAACCACTTTGCTGCCGAGAAAAAATTCAATTACACAGTGGAGATGAAAGTTTCAGCACTTGGGAATAATTACAAAGATGGTTTCCATTATATATGTTCAAGAAGAAAAGGGAAGAGGAAAAACAAAGGCATGAAAACCCAACGGAAAAGTCTTTCAAATGCTAATCAAATTATTACCTTTATTTCCGTCCCAGGAAAACTATTTCGAAACCTCAGATCCCGGAGACTAAGTTCCCAAAACCAATGGGGCTGAGTGATGTGGTTAAAAGTCAAGAATTCTGGGACTGTAGAGATAGCTCAGCAGCTGAGAACACCGGCTGCTTCTGCAGAGCCGTGGAGTTTGATTCCCAGCACCCTCTGGGAA